GTGAACTTATCTACTATTTGCATGTTATTATTCTATGTTCTTTGGTGAATTATAAAATGAAATAAAAATTATTGAGTGCATTACTACCATTAGTATAAAAAATTAGGGTTAAGTGCCATCGACAACTGACAGCAAGAAAAATGAAGATTTGGGTAAGTTCTTTATTTCTCGTTTTTCATGTTTATTTTTTATATATTATTATAAAAGTAGCTAAAATGTAAAAATATGGATATCTTTAGGTTAGATTAGGTAAAAGTATGATTAGGTATGAATTTAAAGCTACTTAGGATAAACAAATAGAGTTTCATGTTACAATTTGAAGTCATTCTAGACAGAAAAAAGGGTAAAAAAGAGGCCACATGGTCGGTCAAATCAACCAAGCCCGTGTTGAGAGAGTTAACCTTTAATCAAAGATGATTATTTTGAATCTTGTAGTAATGGTAATTCAGATATGAATTTAGAGATTTTTCAGAGCAAGGAAAAACTTATTTTGTGACTTACATTTATGTATTACTCTTTTGTTCAAGTTTCTGCCAAAAATGAATAAATGTGTATTCAATACATTTGTCATAACCAACAGTTCATAAATATGGTGTATGATGGTAGAAATGGTTGTATGCCATAGATAGAAAAGTTGTATCCCTTTTTGGAAAAAAAAACAACAGAAGAACTGGTACAAACAAGAAGGATAAAAAGATACTAGGCATTATGCATTCAAAAACTCAATCAGAAAAACGGTTGAAGTAACATTTATACCTATGATCTAATGAACTTTTGAAGCATCTTATTAGTTTCAGCTGTTGCAAGTCATAGTTGGAATAAAACTAAACAAAAAAGCTATAAGTGGAACAGTAAATATAAAGTTTAGGTTATTTGTCTATAAATACAACTGAATAGTACAATACAATACACACTGTATTATATACAAATTATATACACAGTTGAGTAGCTACACAAATATGGCAATACCACAGATGCACAACTTACCAAATGATTTTCAGTGAAGAATCTCTTGAAAGGTGTTTGGTTAATAATACATTCCACATTATCTTTGGTAAACTTATTACCAACTGGAACACAGTGTACATGGTGCATATGGCATAAATATCTCATTACAGCATTTGGAGCTTCAAAAAGGTCTTGTAGGTAATGATGGAATCCAAATTTTCTAGAAAAATAATTTTAATAAAGAAAAAGCTTAAAATAAGTGAAGAAAATGATTCAACGACCTATTTTTCAAAGATAAAAATAAAAATGATACTATAAATTAGCTTTAGATGATATTTTTGAGAATGAAACACAAAATTACAAAACTACAACAAAAGTTCACTTATTTCAGCCTTGTAAAATTTTTTAAAAGGTTTCAACTCTAGAAGATCAGAATCAAAACTATGTTCAATATACACATGTCACTTCCATACAGGGAAGAAATAATATCTTTCAATGGCAGTTCAAGGTTTATCTTCACATTCATCTTGGTACAAAATTTAGTTCTCAAATATGCACAACTAAAAGGAATTTAACCTATGTTTTTCACATTGCAATGAAAATTATTATACACTGGTAGAGAATTATACTTTCATAAATGTAACTAGATTTTGATGCACAAAAGCATTAGATGATGATTTAAGGAAGAATTAGCAAAACTAATTATAATAATAAAGTGTAACACTAGTATTTATAAATATATCTAAACATTTCAGGTCTAAGTACTTTTTTTTAATTTTTCAATTGGAAAAGTTCATTAAAATTAAAAATCATTATATTATATTATGACCTGATAATGAAAGCATTATAAACAAATAACAATAATTACAATAGCCAAGTTAAGTCATATAATTGTAATCTTAAATGTAATTGAAATTTCTTGATAACTCTTTATTTTTTATTTTGTACATGTGTCAAATTCTATCAACAAGTGTTTAAACCTCAAACCAAAACTATCTACACAACTATATATATTCTTTTAATTTATAAACCCTCTATTTCAAATAATGCTAGAATATTACTACATTGCTTTTGTCTACAGAAGAGTCCAGTAAACTTTGACTACCAGATATAGGAGGAATATATAAACTAGTAAACTAGCAAAGTACCAGGCATGGTTCAGATGAAAATGGCTTTAAAAATAAAGTTGTTTTGATTAAATCAACCATATTAATCATTGTTTTTGCAAAAAAATCAAAATGATTTCTTTACCTAACTAAATATTTTTGATTAAAATCAATAAAAATAACAATGTGCAAAAAAAAAATAACGATTTGCTAAAGCTATTTGAATCAAAACAAAACTGGGTACATCGTTCCTGCTTCTTGCATGTGCTTTGCATGACATTTGAAGTTTCCAAAAAAATTCACTACCTTTTGGTGTCCTGATTTCTGCTGTGTGGTCAAATGTCATTTGCAGCATATTCTGAGATTATTATCTTACCACCTGATGAAGAACTGATTTATTTTCTTCTCGTTGCAACACAACACAAATGAAAACTTGCCAATACCAAAATTTTTGTAAAGTCGTCATATAGCTGATTCTTGCAAGTACACGCAAGCAATGCAAAAGATAAGGCTAAAGCAAGCCTATTTAATTGAGAGAGTGTGTGCACATGTTCTAAAGAAAGCACCAGCCTATTTCAGTTAAGGAGAGTTATAGAGTAGGCATGTAGTGTTGAAGAAAGGAGGAGGGAGGGAAAGAGAACAAATGAAGGCTCCACAATGTTTCAAAATCATTTTAACACCTAATTACTCATGGACAGTATGATTAGGAGAGGTCCTCACACAGAGAAGAAATGTAAATAATAGCCCTCTTAATCACACATTACCAAAAATATGTCCTTTTCAATTTGAAACCAATTGGCCATCCTGTTTGCCAAAAATTACTCTATCAGTCACTTTGTCCTCAATTTGTGGCTTCTGACGCTGCAGCCACATAGCCCATAACACTTCTCATACAAAGTTGTATCTGCACTCTGAGTATGGTGTTTGTAGCTTTAATCCTTTCACTACCACCTACTTACATTGAAAGTAGGTATGCGACTCTCATGAAAGTTCTTTACAAAAATGAAACTAGTTGATGAAATAGTTTTAAATTTGACTTGAATGGACCTAAGATTATGTAATTTAGAAAAATATTTAATTTGGATTTTTTTTCTACTATTTATAATAAAACATTCATTATTTAATGAAGTTATTTGCACTCAAACTCTGAATAGTGTACATGCAATGTGATTTTCATTTTGAGTATAAAAATACTATTTCTTATCTCATAGTTTTCATATTTCATTTGCATAATTTCTAGAACCTCCTAAACGAATGTCAAAAGTTCTTTATACTAAATGTTTTTATTTTGTTTTCCATTTCTGCTATTATATCATTAACTCTAGATATCATCATCAACGTACAGTGCAATGAAATGTTGAAAGTTAAGAAATGGAAGTATGTACATACGCTTTAAATTTTCGTAGAATAGTTTTCAAATTTATTTTTGTCATATGCATAATATCACGTCTTTACCTTTTCACTTGTAGTTTATTTTTAATTTTCCTTTCCAATTCTTTGTCTTTTATTCATGATCCCAACACTGACAACTTGTGCTTGCGGTGCTCTGTTGTTATTATATGACGACTCTCATGCACAAATTCCAAACACTTAAACTCACACACGCGAATGATGCCACCTTGCTTAAACATTTTGGTAAGCCAAACTACAAGTTAAACATATAAAAATCATAAACATTTCAAATATGCATTTTAAAACACAAATAATACATAATTAATTAAGATATAAATGTAAAACCTAAATGCAATCTAACTGTTTAGCAAACTAATACATATAAGGCGAGAAACACAACATTACATACCCCTCATGAGAACAATGGACTATGCTTATTTTCTATTTCATACTACAGATCCATACACAGGTAGAGTTTTCTTCAGGATATAACTAAATAGTACAAAATCTTCTCCTTATATTGATTATAAACATGCCATTCAACTTCAAAGTGTCACTTGACAACACAGCCCTGACTTTGCAAGTGGGCGTGGCTGATCTTAAACTTAGGGAGAAATTCTTGGAAATTTTCCCCCAGCTGATGAGAGACAGCTGGAACTGTACTTTGACTGTCTATGCTGACAGTCTATTTATTAGAAACTCATAGTTTCTTGTGTAAGACTTCTTAAACTTGAGAATTTTAATCATAGTGGATCATGTGACAGCAAAAACTGCAGTTTTAATTACTGTTTCAGATTTTAATTTTTAAAATAAAGGAATAAAACTTTAAATTATAACATATTTAATAATAGTAATTACATTAAAATACGTTTATAGAAAAGCGGTTTAATTCAATTTTGAATTTAACTCAGTAAAATCTCATGACATGCACATAAAGGGGATTAAAGGGTGAGCATGTGGCTGTGCATAAGGAACATACCCACAGAGAGAGACATTAGCACTTATATATATATAAATTACAAAAAGTTTTAAACAACAACAAACACAGTCAATACAATGCCATTTGTAGCTCAATTTCACCAGGAATGATGGATACCATTTTTTGCATTGAAGCTCTTCATACATATTCATTCATGTATTTTACAGTTTTTAACATTTAGTTATTGAGATTTTACAGTGCAGCATGTAGAACACCACATGCATGAACTCATAAAAAATCATGGTTTGCTTTAATGTTGCCATGTTTGTTGCTACTTCAAGAAAGAAATCTTTTTTTAAGTGCTGATGTTTTATTAAAACAATACTCTTCACAGTATGCATAAAATTAACCACAACAGTGTAAAAGAGCTCAATGGTGAATTAAGAATCAAGAAAAAAAAGCCAATAGGGAACAATTTTACCTTCCTTTTTAAAAGACAAGCCATTATCAAAAATTAAGTATGTCTAAAATATGAAGCCTCTATAACAAGACAAAGGACATAACAAGACCCAAAAGTGGAAGGAGGCACATTCAAGTTTTACTGGAAAAGAGTGAAGCCTCTATAAAACGTGACATACCAAGACCCAAAAATGAAAGGAGGCACAATCAAGTCACTGAGAGAGAATGATGTCTCTATAACAAGGGACATACCAAGAGTTTATAATGGAAGAAGGCAGAGTATAAAACACTGACAAAGATATCACAATTTGACATTAAAAAGTGAAGCAAAAAACAAGTTTACTGAGATAACTGTCAGATAAAGATAACTGATTATTATTAACCCTATGCATATGGGTGGGTCATAGGTCAAAGTGCACACATCACAACCTCTTTTAAGAGTAAATTCCAAGTTTAATGAAACAACTTTATTATCAATGTATGTCAATAAACTTAGCATCAAACTTAGTTCGTAACCATGATTTTATATTATCAACATTTTAAGTTGTTAATTTCAAAAACAAATATTTAAATAAGTTCTCAATCTTTACTTCTCTGTGTCCCATGATTCATCATGTGTTCTGAATTCTCCCTTATATATTTCCTTTTTTTTCCTAGAATGTTTTACTAACTAGAAACGTAAAAGGATGATGAGAGGTCATACTATAAAATTAGAACATCCTATCTTTTCAATCTGCTGTGATATCAAAAAATCTGTCAAACCGAACAGAGTGGATTATCCCATGTTATCAAAGATTTCAAGGCACTTAACTAAACCACATGTACTTATATGATGTACATGTTTATAACCAATATTTGGATGTATTTGAGGCAGTAATTGAGATTTTAATTGTTCAATGAAGGTTTCAAAGTTTTCACTCTTTGCCCATATCAGACATGATAAATTTATCACAGTTTGAGATGCAGTGGTGTTGTTAGCTAGTTGTTCAGCTTTGGCTTCAAATTTCAAACTAGAAGTGCTTCCTTTTTCTTTAATGTCCATTCATTTGTAGCTGAGTCTATTACTTTGAAGTGTTCAATATTTGGCTTCTTGGTACAATGTTTATTTAGATGCTTATAAATTCTAAGGTTGTTGGTGGGGCTGTTTTGCATATGCTCCTTGACTCAGGTAGTTAGGATTTGTGTCGTTAACACAATGTAGCCATGCCTAATGCACAGACACATGTACTGATATACCACCAGCAATCTTAAGGAAGGATGTGTTTTTTTCCTTTTAAGAAACACCAAAAAGTTGAAGTATAAGATAGATAAAAAGAAACACCCCTGACCAGAAACAGGAATCTGTCCAGACCAGAGCATCCATAAATAAGGGAAACAGAGAGAAGAGGAATAAGAGAATGGAGGACTACCATCAGGAGTATCTGAAGTTTTAGGAAGGAAGAAATGGTTGGGGTAGAGAAGAATGTATGAGCAGTGGAAATGGATTTGAGTGAAGATGATAAGGTCAGAGTAAGGAGACAAGCACTTCTAAGATGGAAAAAGCAAGAGAAAGGCAATAGAGGGAGAGCAGCAAGAATTGATAGTGAGGGCATGAAGAATGACATTAAATATCCAATCAGGCAAGGGGGTGAGAACAGAGGACATGTGCAGTAAGGAGGAGTGTAAAAGAATGGTAAGGATAGGGAAAGGAAGAAAAACAATGTAGAATTGCGAAATGCAGAATGTAGTGGATAGAGCATCCCGAGACCCAGCAACAGTAGAAACAAACAAGCCTCAGTCAAATAGCCAAGGAAAGAGAAAGATGAGTTGGTATAAGGTAGAGCAGTCAGGGAGTGATGATAAAGGATAGGTCAAGAGTGAAAAACCCATTATGTCTGTTGGTAAACAGAATAGGTGGAGGAACAAGAGGGATTGGAGAGAAAGAAGGTTACAAGTACAGAAAAATTGGCTTGACAGACCAGACAATCTCACACGTGAAGAGGGGTACCACACATAGGGATGTAAGAAGAACATAAAAGATATACAAGAAAGGAATGAAATGTGAGGAAAGGGGGGTTTTGTTGAAAGGAGACACGGAACAGGGAACCAAAGTTGGGCAGGTTGGTATTGAGCAACCATCAGTATTCACTATTGGGTATCCTGAGACAGAGCAAGAACACAGGTGTGAACATGGAGAGGAGGACAGGCATAGAAGAGGAGATGAAGCCAGTCCAAACTGAGAGTATGCACAACCAAGGTTAATGGATGAGGATCAGGAGACCAGAATGGGAGGCTGAGTAGTATAAAGCAATAAGGCAAACACAGTTAATGAAAGAATACCAAGCTAGGAATGAATGGATGAAGCATAAATGGAAATACCAGGAGAATGTGGAATAAAGCTAAAAGTCATGAATGGAAGGGTTCTGAAAAAGAGATTGGAAAGAGTTATAAGATATGGGGTAAGAAGAATGGTACATACTTTTGTAGTAAGTTCCTAGAAAACCTGAAAAAAGATCAAACATGTTCTTCAGGAGGAAAGGAGATACTCTAGTCAAAGGCAGGAGGTAAAAAAAATCATTTCATTTCATCCATCACAACTTCAGATTCAAAATCCTGTGAAGGGAAAGATGTAGCACAGGTGGAAGAAGAAAGTCCTGATGGCAACAGATACCCCAATACACATTGAACAATGGTTGTCACAATCTCAACAACCAAAGAACTTCCTAGAATGTTGGTAATTGTCAGTGATATATACATATATATATTCATTTAAGCAAAAAAAGAATTCACATTAAATTGTGAATTGAGATTGAAATATTGAAAACACAAAGTCGTTGAAGTTAAATACTTAACAAATCTCAGCAAAAATAAACACATCTTTAAATGACCATACCAAGGAAAAGAATAAGGAATTTCATTAATGAATGTAGAGGATTCATTTGCACAAAGGTGTGTGTCGCTCTCCTATTGGTGAAGGATTTTGCTGCATGATATGGCATCATGCAGTACCACAAGTTCATGTGTTGCATGTGAAATTTAGGTGGGAGTTCTCACGAGGCTGGTAGCATGCAACTTTCTCAGACACATTAGCATGACTTCAAGAAGAAAATAGCTTACTGTATATGGAGGTTAGTGATCACATCAGATATGTTTAAGATATTGTTGTTTTTTTCTAATGGAATAACATAGTGCTTTAAATATTTTAATATTTTCTTCACTTGTTCCATTTGTTTCATCTTATTTGGTGTTGACTGTATCTCCCCTCCCCTCTCCTTGGACTCTAAATGTGTGTAACCTTTTTTTCTCACTGGTTTTGCTGAGTATGATGATTATGAAACATTTATTTAATGCTTTTGATTATTACATTCATGTTTTGCTTTATCATCCTGAAGTTATTATAATTTTTATTACTTATTTTTTCTGAAATGTTTAGTGATTTGTATGTTTTTGATTGTTTTGCAATACTGATTTTACTGACCACTGACAGCTGATGTAGTATTCCCAATATATCTCAATATATTTATGTAACTATTTCCAAGTTTAATTATTTGTATTGTCTCAGTTGAAATAAATACCTTTGTTTATGCTATTATAACTGTTCTTAATCACTGGGAAAGTGTTTTGCATGTAGTAAGTTTGATTCATTTTAAATAGGATAGAGAAAGGTTGGAAAATTATGCTAACTTTCTAGATTAAACAAGGGCTACATGTCACAATGATTGCTTCATTCTGATCCTGTTTCCATATGATGTTTTTCTGGAGTAAGGTTGTATTCAATAAAAGAGATGGTACAAATATCTGTACAAGTTAGTATAAGCTAGGAGTATATTCTCTCAGAAATGTATAATGAAAATAATTGCCAAAATAGTTCATCTGGAATTGTGGAATACTATACTAGGACTTGATCTGACTTAGAAGAAGAGTGATATTATAATTCTTGTTCTTATCTTTGTCTCATGCAAACCTACTTTCTCCAGGTCAAGCATCCAGTTTCTAAGCTATGAATACTGAAACCACAAAGCTTTGTAAATACCCCAATGATTCACAGAGTGAATTAAATGAATAAAAGTTATTGCTTTTATTCATTTTCCATGTGGGAAATTATTTTAAGATTTCCTGAGCTTGATGTGTATTGTAGACACTTAGAACTTTCTGTTGGAAATCACTGTACCTGAACATTGCTGCATGAGAATGTGAAAGAAGTATTTTTGTGTTATATAAAATGTTACAAGAAATTCATAAGCTAGATAAAATACTTACTTAAAATTAGCAATAGAAAATGGAGGTTTAAAAGAGTCAAGTGATGTTTTTGGAGCCATGACTACATTGATTTTGAGATTTTGTTCATCCCTCAAAGTCTTCATGAAGCTTTCCAAATCTTCTTCATCTTCACAGACAAATGCTATCATATCATTAAAAGGAATTTGAGCTTCTACATATTTCGCCCATTCTGGATTCTTTACATTAATCTAGAAAATAAAATGACTATTGTGAATTTTCAAACATTCTGGTACTACAATAATTCAGAATAAATACATCACCAATGATAATTCCAAGTCAATTATAGGTAGTGGTGCCTTATATATCTATTAAGCCATACTTAAATAAAAGTAGCAGGTCATTCTGACAAGAACAAAATTCACAGCTTGGTTTCATGCATTGTATATACAATACAAATTATCTAATATTACTATATTTTGCACATATTTATAAATCACAATTCTTACAGCATGAAACTATATGAAAACAATTATATCACATTAAAAGTAAGAACAATACTCATTATGCCTATCATTTAATCAGCTAGTACTGCTTGTTTGTGATCTGGCAGACATTTTTACTAACTACAAGAAGTTGTATTTTCCAGTGAATGGTGCCATTTGTTACAAAAGCTATTTTCTAACATCACAATACTAGCCTTAATCTCCTAACCACTAATGACCTTTATTTAATTTTTTCTGCCACTGATCCTAACTTATATATATATATATACACACATAATTTGTTAAAGTTTCTGTAATATTTTTCATTTTTAAACACTCTTATCAGTTTTCTGTTATATCTTGGCAGCTCTTCTTACAAATAGCTTACTCTATATGGAAAACCTACTATCAATAACATTTTCCAACACTGAAAATGTATTTCTAAGAGATATTAACCTTCACTCAAATATAGCTTTCCCAAGTCTGTGCTGCTCTCTATATTTGAACTGTTTTGCTCCCCACTGGCATTGAAACTCGTGTTTCCATGTAATATTGCTGCATTGTTGCATGCAAATGAGCTTGTGCAGGCCCACCAACAGGGGTGGGGGCAATAGGGGCTACTGCCCAGGGGCCTGGGCAAATGAAACCTGTTTATGCCATAAAGTCTGCAAAGTACCTTTAGGCAATACCCTCATTTAACCATAAAAAGCATAGTTTTTTGTTTGATACAGTAAGAATGATTGAAATCATAATTTGAGTAATCATTAATATATATTTGTTACTTTATACATTTAATAGATATTTGTCGTTACTTCAATAACATTTTTACGCTTATACTGTTAGCTAAAAATGGCTGCCGCTATGATTTTGTCTTGTTTACAAGCTCTTTGCTGTCTAATTTAGGATCTTCTTTTTAATAAGTTCTTAAAAATTGTTAAAAAGAGAGAGAAAGAGGGCCCAGCAAGGATGTTTGTCCTGGGCCCATGCTGGCTCTCATTGCTCCTGAGCATGTGACAACCCTACACCAATAGGAGTGTGACACATCCTCCTAATGCTGCTGACTCCCTCTACATTGATTGTTCAATCAGCAATTCAAAGATCAGGCAAAAAAGATGCACCAGAAGTAGGGAGAAAGGTGGGAAGGGATAAGTATATATTGGAAATACATTTTCACTATTAGCAAATGTTAATTTCTGACACAATACTTAACCTCTATTCACATATAGCTAGAATTCCATGTTGAATTGGTGAAAGGCATAGTGCAAAATTTACCTATATGAGCCCCCTTTGGAAAGTGCCCAAAAGAAAACCCATGGAGTGCAACATCCTATACTATGTATAGTCACAACCGTGGGAGACTGCATTCCTCTGTACCAGGTCAGGTGGAAAACAAACACAGTCCAGAACGAGAATCATAGACGTGCCCATTTGTGTAGTATGGTTAGGGTGCTTCAAGCCATACATGGGAGATGACATTTCTCCAGCTTTACAAACCAACCAAGATGAGATGTCTCGTAAAGGAGAAGAAGAGTATGGCTATAGGAGGACTGATGGGATGGAGATAAAAGTAGCCAGTCATCTACATAATGGTGGAACTGCAATCCCAAGCCACGAACGTGAACATGCAAAAGCAAGCACTACTTGGTAGAAACATATGGGGCCGTTGCAAAGCCGAAGAGAAGAGTGCAAAGTAGAGGAAGTGGAACTGTGAAAATAAGCATATGAGACATCCACCTTGTCATTCAAAGAGCTAGGGCAAAAGATCACAATATCATGAAAAATGTCTCAATGAGAAATCAGGAAAATGATTGAGATGTGAAAGATGTGGGGGGGGGCACAAAAACAAATGGTAAGGCCTTGTAACACCCAATGATTGGCTACAAATGGACTCCAACTCAAGGCAGGTTGAACTAAACACATCCCTACTATCCCTGAGCAAAGTTGAGATAAAAATAATCCAATATGGACATGAATATCTGGAGATGAAGAAAAAACAAAAATCAGAAGCAGGGAACAAAGTAAGAGGTGAAGTAAAGAAAAAATAAATTAACATGCCTGAGAAACCACATCCTAAGATTAAGAAAAAGACCTTAGGAGATCCAAAATATCCTGGGGTAGAAGATTTGGCAAAAGTAGTTTGTGGGAAAAAGCTACCAAAATCTCCTTTATCACAAACGGGAAACAGAGTAGAAGATATATCAGATTCAGAAGAATGTCCAGACTCCATTTGAGACTCCATTTCACATCACACAAAAGCCATCACTTCCTCAACAGATAAAGACAAACCAAACACCATTTGAGTTGTTAATCTAGCATGAACAATATCTTGTTGTCCCACACCAGAGAAAGTGCAAGTTACAGTCACTTGTAGATTAACTAAGTGGAAATAAAAAGCCACAAAGTCTGCAGGACTAGAAATGTTGGAAAAATAAATCCAAATTTAATATTTCCACAACAGTTATTGTTGTAGACAGTTCCACAAAATTGCCTATACCTCAAAAGCTCACAAGTGAAAAAAAAACAAAAAAAAACATCTTTACACAATGCGAAATTGAGAAGTGATGATTGTATAATCAGTAAATAGGAAGTCAGCTGCGCGAAGAAGGTGTGTCATATTCCTATTGGTGAAGGGCTGCCACATATTCATTTCCATGCAACAAATCAGCAAAATGACATGGAAATGTGCAAGTTTAGGTGGGAGCCTCAAGGGTAGTGGTGAGTGAAAAAGTTCACATACAGAGTACTGCACTGAATCAGGAAAGCTAAAGGTGAGCAGGTTACATATCATATCAGAATTTACTTAGCTCTCTCTCTCTCTATATATATATATCCTTTCATAGTGTTTCCCTTTGTCATGTCTCTATATCTCGAATTCACCTATCTCCACTGACACAAACTAGTGCACTTCATTAAAAAATTTATTTGCCATTGCTGTTACTCAATCAACAATTTAGATTTGACTAGCCTTTTCTTCAGTTTTCTCTCTTCATCTAACTTTTTTCAATGAAACTTTCTAATTTTAAACATCATTTAATATATTTCACAATGTAAATTTAATGATTTCAAAGGAAAGTCCAAGTAATGTTCTTACAATCCAAAATTATGTAAGTGATCATTCTCATTATTTTTCGTGGTTATCTGATGTAGTGGGTTTTTCATGATCAATAGAAGGCAGTACTAATGGGACAAACAGGCAATCCTGGCTGACTGCTATATTGTGATAGAGAAAGTAATTTTACTGCTATACTTCATGCATCTACTATATTGGACTGTGTGTATATTGTTTGTGTTTTGTAGTTGGAAATTTGATATCTTGATGGCTGGTTATGGTTGTAATATGCCATTTCTGCTTATTGAAATCTATGAATACTAACAATTTTATGATATCATTCAAGGTGGAATAACCTAAGTATTTAGGTAGCACTTGAAGTTATACATGTGCTTTGGCACACATGTAGAGCATGAATTACACTGACAATTGTTGCAATGGAAATAAAGTTAATTGCTTAATGGTGACAACATATACTGCAAGTATGCAACAGTTAATATGTGATGACTGATATACAAGTATTTTTTGAATTATGTATGAACAAGTTTATGTATATCTAATTATATACACAAATGAGATACTTATAAGAGCAGAACTTTAAAAGCAAATAAAAGAAATATAGTATGTTAATATTTTCCTATACTGAAAAATATATTTTCGATAGGTGCTTACCTCCTTTCATGTTCAGTACTACCCTCTATATGCAAAAATTTTTTCACATGCCACAAGTCTTGAACTCCAACATACTTCACGATCAATGTTGTTAAATTGTGTCTCACATGTAAATCATAATGCGACAACCCTCCACTAATAGGAGTGTGACACACCCTCCTGACACATGCAACTTCCTCTAATCGATTCTACCAAACTATCAATTCAAGGTTAGACAGAAAAGGAAGCAAAGGTTTTCAGTGGGGAGGAAGGATGGGAAATGTGAAAGGAGGTAAGTACCTATCAGAAATATGTTTTCACTATAGGAAAATAATAACTTCTAATATGGTACATTACCTTTACTCACATGTATAGCTAGAATCCCACAATGAATAGGCAGAGAGATCTGTGCGAGGGATAGAAAGAAGTATCCTTCGAAAGCATCCAAACAACACCCATGAAGTGATCCCCATTGGGAAAGGTACACAAGTGGGAGACCAAACTACTTCAGGTATACTCTTTGCCCAGTGTGGAAAAATGTGTTGCACACAGAGGTGGAAAGTGGGAAAAGCATAACTAAAATGGGAGAGAAAACCAGGTGGGTTGGATTCCAAATCACAGTATACCGAAATCTCAATCCTTCAGAAGAAAGACTGTAGAAGAATCATCTATAGACAGGAATGTGGGGAAAGATAAAATGGATGTGCTCAAAGATGTAGAGTGGCTAGGGCGTGACAGACTGTATGCGGCCAGTCAACTCCAGTCCAAAACCAAGTAGTATCAAGAATAGAACCTCTAACCCATGGTAGGAGGAGGGTCTACACCATAATGTAAATATATATTGTGCAAACCAATCTATCAAACAGAAACCTGCACAAATTCACAATCAATCATACATCTGGGAACCCGATATCCAAATGACAGCAGAAAGAGATGTGACAAAATGTGACAGGTCACATCAAACTCAATCAGATGGCTCCACATGGGACAACATCAGCCACAGGCAGTAAAAACTCTTTGAGGTGTAGCACAAGAGGAAGAACTGTTGTCCCCATCAACATTATCC